TGTCCGTGGTGCCGCAGGGAACTGTGCAGCCGTGTTCTCCTGGTGGAGGACATGTTGTGCTGGAAGCGCAGTACCTGCCTAGGTGGGCCTTTGGGGCTGAGCAGCCATTCCAATGTCCTCATTTAAATTTCATTGATTTTTCTAAAGAATTCTGTCTCCCTTGACAGTCTAGAAATAAAACCTCTTGCCCTGACTGGCGCAACAGCCTCGTGATTTCTATATATTGACGAAGTGGATTCACACTGTCTTAACATGGGCAAGCTATTCTTCAGCACGCTCGATCAGAGGAAGAGAAAATTATATTTACGCACCTCCTGCCGCTCTCCTTACGTTTCCCATCCCAGCTATCCAGGGGCAGGCGTTGCTGTCAGCTCCCACCTGCAGCCTGCCCAGCGAAGCCGCACAGCGCCGGGTTTTCACAGGAATATCTGCTCCCGATGTGGGCAGTGCCCAATTAGGCACAGTGCCAGAGTACGAGTTGGCAGGGATATTTTTAGTCGTCCTCCGAGGTTCCTTTCCGCCTCTTGGCTGAATTGAAACACTTTTGTGAAGGCTCTGTGTATCCCAGGCTGGTTTCTGGCTCATTTCTCGGGGTCAGGGAGTCAAGGAGCTTCTGGGAGGACTCTTCAATCTTAAATGCCTTCAGCAACAACAGAGAACAGACTTCAGGCTTCCTCTGTGGAAGCTGGTGTACCGTGGCAGGCTGGAGGGGCCACCTGAGCATCGTGCTGAGCATCTCTGGCTTCCACTTTGCTGGCCATTATGTGTGTGTAGGGGTTTCAGATGAGGAAGCCTTCAAAGGTTTCAGGATGACAATCCTGCTGTTTCCAGCAGGTGCAGTCCCTGATGACCTGGTTTTGGAGCTCGTTCCTGTGCTTGCATTTCGGTGTATCGTTCAGGCAATGCTTTCGTAGAATTGTGAAGACCACCAAGATGAACCAGCTCCACCATCAACCCCTGATCATGGCCGCCACAGACAATGTCACTCAGTGCCCCATATACCCTCTTCTTGAACACCTCCAGAAGCAGTGGCTCCACCACTTCCCTGGGCAGCCTGTTCTTCCAGTACCTTCACTACTCTTTCCGAGAAGAAATGCTTCCTAATATCCAACCTAGTTGAACCTTCCCTGGTGCGACTTAAGGCCATTACCTCGTGTCCTATGGACTGGGTTTTCCAGGAACAGGTGAGAACTGCAGACATAGATGAGACCCAAAAACCTGAAAGCTGTGCGCTGTGCCCCACCAGGGAGCTGCATGACCCACCCAAAGCCCCCAGTGATGAGAATTTGTTTTCATGGGAAATTTCCACTGTCAGGACTGGTTACGGCAGGAGGCCTTGCTCTCATGAGCTTTATTTCTGAGAGTGACAGCTCTGCTATGCAGCTCTAAATATATGTTTCCTGGTCCTGATGTCCTATTTAGGTCAAAGCTTGTGCTTTGGCTTCAAGAGAGCTGGAAAGTATAGACTTACCATTGTGGATAATTAGCTGCCTCTGAGGCAGGAATTATCTTTAAAAGGAGTTGAGTTGGGGCAGAAAGCTTGTGCCAGAAGTGGGACCAGAAAATGCTTGTTTGCTTCTGTATATGCAGATGTGAATGACTTTTCCTAATAACTTTTGGAGAAGTAGTAAGTAGGTAGCTGCTTTGCTTTCCCAGCACTGGGAGCTACTTATCAATCCAGATTAGGAAGGAACAGCAGGAAAAATGGGACGTTTCCTGACTGAGCCACGTTATCTTTAATCATTCAAACAATCTTTTCAGGGAAAGACCTTGCCCTTGAACTCTCTTGTAGTTTACCTGCTGTGCTCATCTCTTTTGTGCTGTCGGGCAGCATCCCATAGGCTGTGTGGGCAGCTCTGCTGCTGCAAAACTCTTAGGCATGTTGGTGGCTGCTGCTGAGCACCAAAACTTCTGGGCAATGGCTGTGGAATAGGGTGGTAGGGTTAAGGTCTGCAGCCAGAGGGGAGCTGCTGGTGCAGCTGTTCTGCTCCATGGCTGCAACATTCCAATCCTGTCTGAGCACTGGGGCATTCAGAAATGCTTTCAGCTTAATAGAAACTGCAGTGAAGCCGTGGCTGTTTAGTGTCTGGCTGGGCCTGGAGCAGCTCATTCTATCTTGTTTTACATCAGGTGTTTGTGTCATCTTACTACTGCTTGTCCCCTGCATTCCAGCCAGTACCTGGCCCTTGGGATCATACCCCTGGGCTTCAGCACTGTCTGTGCCTGTGAGGACATTGGTAGGGGACATAGGGAGCACCCTCCTTCTGCAGGGCAGGCTGTTGTTCCCCTTCTCCAGCATGGATGCTGACTTCAGGAAAGAGGGCTGCTAGGGATCTCTGATTCATGTATCACTTCTTGGTTCCTGAGAGTGACATTTGCAGCCTGCAAGCTGGACACTTGCGCTAGCCTGAAGTCTTTGTGGCTTTGGGCTGCATTAGCACCATCTGCCAGAAAAAGAGAGCTTCCAGCACCCAGCCGCGATGTGAGCATCATCACACCAGGGTGCGCAGGGAAGGACATGACTTCTGGTTTTCTGGTGGTGGTATTCCTTCACACAACTAGTCACGTGCTTACGTTTTTGGAAAAGACCTGTACTCCAGCCCACTTCCTGCTCAACCTCTGCAAAGAGGAACCTCCTCTCGCCAGCTTTCCAAAATGGGTTCAGCACGGCTCCCTGAAAGAAAACCTCTCCTGGAGTGGCATACATCCTGCAGAGTGCCCCTGGCAGCTGCAGCAGGGACAAGAGGGGTGTTTTCAGAACAGAAAAGCAAACTGATGTTGGAAACTTGTTAAAATAGAAGCCTTTATATGGGGGAAGGCTGCAGTGGGTGAAGACTGTGCCTATGCTGCCTCTTTCCAACAGAAATATTTGGAAGCTACCAAAATTCCAGGGTTTCTGCTCAGCTGAAGCGTTGTGTCTTTAAAATTCCTCATTGCTGTTTTAATCTTGACTTAGCAGTTTGTTATCTTGACATTATAAAGTCAAATGCCATCAATGATAGGAATAAGTATTTCCCTGTGGAGCATTATGAGAGTCGATGTGGGGAGGGTTTCCTTAGCTGGATTTCACCAAAATTTCTGCTGGCAGAAAAGTCTAAGTTGTAAGAAACCAATCAGCAAATGCTGCCCAGGGCTGTCTGTCCCTGGCTGCCTGTTCATTGTCACTGTCACCTCCCTGAGGCTGCTCCCAGGCCTGCTTTGGAGGTACTGACCAGACTATGACAATATATTGAAGGACTCCCACCCCAATATCAAGGCCTGATGGAGGTTTGTTTAAACCAAAACTGGGATGTGGGCTGAAGGTGGTCCCTTCTGGGAGCCTGCCACCAGGTCTGCCCATTGTGTAGGGTGGCCCTTTGGTTCTCTGTTACTGCTCGTTGGTCTCAAGCCTGAAATGGATCTTGCTGTGAAATGGACATGACTGACATTTCACAGAAATCCTAGTCCTTGTCAGAACAGCGCCTGGGGAGATGCAACGCTGCTCAGCCATCTGGCCAATATCACCCCTATTTTGTGAGCTCGGACAGCACCTCGCTCCATCAACAAATGCTCTTGGCTAATACTGGGTGGTGCTTCCCAGAACAGACATGGACAGGAAAGATATTTTTCTCAGCATTAGTTGGCCTCAGCGCAACCTCAGTGGTGCTGTCTGGGTGGAAGGAACCAATCTGGACCACTAAGCTGGATTCGACCATGCCACAAAGTCCAGGTGCAGTGAGTGAGCAACATGGGGCCCAGGCTGCCTTCCTACCCCCCGGCTGCAGAGCTCTAAGGTAAATGCTGTGCTCCAACCCTCATGATGCAGCAGAATTAGAAATATCCCAGTTGAGGGAGGTACGCTTCCAGTATCCCCTTTGAGCAAAGGCATAGATGCAGTATGCACTCCTGAGTGCATTTGGGGCTTCCTCCTTCAGTGCATTAATTTTACATAGGTGCAAAGTGAGCCGTTTTTCATCTCTCCCTTGACCGCAGACTTGCTGGCAGACCTGGGAAGACGCGGTTTGCTGTCCCCCCACCCCCCGGCTGCATCTGGCTGCAGCTGTCATTTCAAGTGAGTGCTGGAGCTTTCTTCTCAGCCTGATCATGCACTTTTTTTTAATGCATCAGCCACCGCTTCAAAGAAGAGAACGCATAAGGACGTAAAGAGGACTTAAACAGCTGTTTCTAACCAAACTGAATTTCAAGATTTGCTAAGAACAAAGCATTTGATTTGCTCAAAAGACAACCAGACATCTGTTCAAGGGCTGTGATTCGCGAGGAACGCCAAGATGCTCCAGCCCATAACGAGTCCTGCCGGTACTCTGTGGCCTCCGGGTCGGAGGACGCGCACCGGACCGGATCCCCGCCGGGCTGCGGGACCCGCCGGGCTGTGCCGGTTCGCCGTGCCCGCTCCCGGGGCTGCCCCGACCTCCAGCTGCGGCCCCGGTCCGGCTCCGCGGAGCAACAGCGGCCTCCAGCGCCCAAACCTCCTACCTCCGCATCCCGGCCCCGTCCTCGCAGCGGCTCCTGCTCTCGGGGTGCCAGCCCTGGGGGCAGCAGCGGGGCCACCGTAGAAAAAGCCTTTTTTTCTTTCTTTCTCTTTAACCCCCTGGAAAAATTGCGGACTGATCGTCTTTCTCGGGCACCGTGTGGCCGTGGCCCTCAGGGCCAGTGCTCCATTGCGCTGCATGGAGAAGGCAGATCTGCCACCACCGAGGGGACCTGTTGGTCCTCTTGTCCTGGCAGAGCCCTGGAGTGAGGACTTTGATGCCTTGCTTTTAGCAAACGTCACTCAAAGTTATGAGGATGCTTAAAATATCCCCTATGGGAAGTTTAGGAAAATGGGATTCTTTATGCTAGAGGGAGACTCCTTGTTCTTAGGAATGACCTGGACTTTCCCCTGGGGCTCCATCAGTACTCTGTGTGGGTGTTACCAAAGTTCCCCACGTTTTTCAGGAAGGTATTTTTAAGTGCTGGGGAAAAGGGTGTGTTGTGTGTAAGAGAAATCCCAGAGTGAGCAGTTGTCATGCTTCCAGTTTATTTGGAGTTTGTAGAGGTGAGGAATACCTTCGTGCCATCTTCTCTATCACAGCTTTGCCTTTAATTTCAAGCAGTTCTGGAGCGTGGAGAGGGCTCTTGGCACTTTCCCCTGTTCTTTATGCGCACATTAGTGTGTCTTTGCCTGGAAGAGAGGTTAAAAGTGCCAGAGGATGCCTTTAAGTCCCTGACTCAAAGAGCCTGGCTCAGGGGATGAGGATAGAAGTAAAAATACTGCTTAATTCTTCCTTTAAGCATTACATTTAAGTAAGCCCACATACTCTTGACAGAGAGTTCAGGGTTATCAGGGGCATAGGCTAATACTAATTAACCAATAAGCAGAGAGCTGGCACTTCCCACTGCCTCCGGGCAGAACAGTTCACCTCCTTGCTGCAGGACCAATGTCAGTCACTTCCAATGCCTTCCAATGCCTGGCTGGAGATGCTGAAGGTCATAACTCTGTTTGTGTGAATTTTTTGCAGACAAATGTCTGCCACTTTGCTTGGATTGGGCCTGCTCCCAGCTCCCCATGTGCCTGCTTCTGTATCAAAAATAAGGAAAATATTTTTGGCACCCCTCACTTTCCCCCCCCGTGACCATGGAGATCCCCATCCCCACCAAAGCTGTGCTCTGCACCAAGGAGACGTGGAGCCCTTGATGTTGCATCGCTCCCTGCTCACATGGCTTCGAAGCCTTCCTCACTCTCCTGGTTTCTGGCCAAGGCCTTAACGATGTTGTGTCTGACGAACCTCCCACCCCCATCTGCTGCACAATGCAGCCGGCAGCTGGTGCTGGGCTGCTGGCTTCCAGCATGGTCATTACGGCCGTGCCGTGTCATTAACTGCAGTGCCTTCATTTGGAGATCCTGCTCGGCACCTCTCTGCTCTACTGCATTTTCTTTAAGTGTAAAAGAACAGAATATGGAGCTGGAGCCTGAGTTAATGAAGGACAGGGGCCAGCCAGACCGACAGTTCTCATCCAGGCTCTTTGCTGATCTGGATTCTGTTCCTTGTTATTGCAGCTGACAGTGCTCTAAAAAAAAGCCAGAATTCAGCTCCACAGCTCCATTTATCGAGGGACTGGAATCTGAGCTCCTGTTGGAGATGTCTTCGCTGATGGCAAGTGAGTGTGGTCACCCCAAACCCAGCAGGGAAAGCCAGTGTGAAGCTCCCTTAGCCTCGCAGACTGCAGCACTTGCTTATGGAACAGACTCGCTCTTCCCAACAGAGATTTTCAAGTACTTAATAGCATTGAGTTGGAAGTAATTCCCTCACTTGTCTGCCATGGAGCACTTGCAATATATAAATATACTCAGAATTACCTAGGGCCCAAGATAGATGAAATGAATCAAGTCTTGCCAGACACTTCACTGGCTTTTGGTCCCGGCCTTCTGCAATCTGGCACCAGCGCAGATTAAATAAAGGCTTATTCTTAAAAATATCCAAGCAAATTGTAACCTTTCAGATGCAGAGAAGACAGAAAGCAGAGCTCAGCTGTAAAGTGCTGGTGTGAAAAGCGGAGTATTTCCTCCACCCGAACAAATGCTTCTCTGCCTGCATGTGAAATCCGGGCAGGCTTTGCAGGTTTTGCCATTTGTCTGAGCTTCTGGACAGCCTCCAGCACAGCCTGGGCCACGGCACAGCTCAGCAGCTGCAGGTGTGGGGAGATGTTGGCCATTTGATCGCAGTGTGTGGGCAGATGGGCACAGCCTGCAGCCCTATTTCACAGCAGGAGCCCACATGCTCTGAGCAGCGTCGGCAGGAGGCCAGATGTGTGCCAGATGTGCTGGGCTCGCTGCCCATGCTCCACCCAGCTGCATGCAGACAGCCTGCTGTCTAGGAAATCCCGGTGTCATCATCTGTGTGGTATTTAGGCTTGGAGGAGGCCTGGATACTCACATGTTCTGAACGCACAGCAAGCACTCGTTGCCATACAGGACATCATCTGTGCCACAGATGGGGTCAAAGTTCTTTGTGCAACCTTTCCCTATGTCGTAATTGCCACATGCTGCCTGGAGACAGGAAAGAGAAATGCTGAGAATATCGAACATGCTTTCACTTTACCACAGATGCTCTGCATTCCCAGCAGTGTGCATGTTTTGTATGTCTTGATAACCCATCCCAGCTTGCTTAGCACTCTGCTATGAGCTGACAGGAACTGTGTCATCATCCCTTGGCAGTTGAACTCCACCTGGCACTCCTGCACACCTACGGCAGTGCCAACACAGAGCAAATAATGCTCCGTGGGCAGTGTCTGATCATGTTATCCCCAGTTTTTACTTTCTATGGCCACAAGAATACCTGCCCTCACACTTAGAAGCTGAAGAATAATGGGAACTTTGGTCTTCTCTTGGCAGATAACAGCAACATTCAGCTCTTTGTTAACAGTTTCCCTTTGCTGACTGTGGGAAAATGCAAAGGAAGACCAGTACCATCCCTGGGATTTGGCTGTGGTGCAGCAGGTGGAAGGAGGTTTTCAGGCACCAGCCTGCACTCCTAGCCCAGCTGCTCATGTTACTTCACTGTATGTAGCAAGAGTAGAGCCCCAGTGCAGGGATTAGTGCTCACTCCCCAAAGTTGTCCATATCCTGGTGCTACAAAGAAACAGGAGCCTTCACCTCTGTTCCTTGGCCAGCAGTTCCGTCAGGCTCAGTATTGCCTAGAGAAAGTGTGGAGAGAGAAAAGACACCTTAGCATCTTCCTCACTCAAGTTAGCTTCTAGGGGTCCCAACAAAATGCTTCAGCCTGAGGACTGTGTGTCTTCACTCTGAGAGCTCTGGCCTTTCAAAGGCCCAACAAACAATTCCCTCCTTTGCATCTGTCCCATTTTACTTTCCCTCAGCAGAAAGCGCACAATGGTGCAATTGCTTTCAAGGCCAGATGTGTACCCTGTGACTTTCCATGCTGTTTGTTCCAGCTGTCAGGGAGCAAAGGTGGCTTTTGTTATCTCTTATAACACGTTCATGGATAAATGAGAAACTTCTGTTGGTGCTGGACTGCTCCTGGAGTAAATCTGGGGTGAATTTTCTGGTGTCAGTGGTTTTGAACCACAAGGAAACAGAGCAAAAGGCAACTTGGTCTCTACTGGGAGGAGAAATGCTAGACCCTGAGGTCTTGCACTAAAGCTGGTGGGAGCAAGCTGTGATTTTGTTGGCCTTTTCCATGGAGAAGCTGGCCCTGAGCTGATGGCTGGGATGCTGTGGGTGGAACGACACAGTGGGTTGTTTTGAAAAACAGCCTGAATCTATCTGGCAGAAAGGAGTACTGGGCAGATGGCTTTGGGTTGCCTATAGATCCAGAACTCATCTACTCAAAGCATTTAGACTGCATCATCATCACCAGTCAGTGTGGCCCAATAGCAGTGGGTCTGTAGGGTGAAGTGGTTTGTTGCTGAGGATCTGGTAAGTCACACTTCTGTGCTTGAGGGGTTTTACTCTGAATGAGCACCAGTGCAGTCCCAGGAGCTGTGGATCTGTACATGCTTGGTTCATATAAAAGAAGGCCATGTTTTGTGCTCAAACTGTTCTGCAATGGCAACCACAGCACAAAAAAATAGGATGATGGGCTGGCTTCAGAAGCATTGGGAATGAACTTGCTAATGCAGAAATCCCTGGTGAGCGGGACCTGGAGAGCAGCAACAACTCGTGTTCTCATCCCTCTGCACCATATGGAATTTTGAAAACACAGTTGGCTTAAACATTGACTTTGGAAACAAGAACTGCATTTTCCCTTCTATAGATTTGTTTCCTGTCTTCCTGGTTTTACTTCTTTACAACTAGAATAACACCTATTTATTCTAAAAGAATTGCACCGTCCTAGGAATCACCAGCTCCCACCAAATTCCAACCCCACGGGGAGACTGTCAGCCCAGCAGTTCTGCTCACTGGGAGTCAAGCACCTTTAAAACTTCTCTAGGCTTGCTTGCAGACACTGCTTTAGTGCCCGCTGACACTGCAGCACTCTCTGGGGAGCACTGCTGCTCACTGCCCAGCAGCAAGGTCGCACCACAGCCGGCCCGTTCCCAGGCTTGCCTTCCCACGCGGCAGGCTTGGAGCTGGAGCAGGGAGAGGAAATGAAATGACTCCTAAGCAAAATGTTGCACTCACCTTGGGTGAAGCCAATTGCTAGGAAGAGGAGCAGGAAAACAGCACTTGTTTTCATGGTCAAGGTGATGCTCGACTGGAGACAGCAAAGAGGAAACAGAGGACACTGCTCTGGATCACTGAGATGCCATCTCCAGCCACCTGTGCAGAGACCTTTATACTTTCCCATCGCTGGCACCACCCTCCATGGCCAGCTCCACCCCACAGTGTCATGATGACAACAGTGAAAGTACAGGGACAACAACAGGTGGCAAATGGCACAAGGATCAGAGGCTCCCAGCGCCAGTGGCGGTCACAATCCTTATCAATAACAAGGGCTGGAGCCACATCCTGTGCATGGGGCTGCAGGGAAGAAATGACGCTGTACAAGAGCCAGGCTGGAGAAATGGTCAGAAAAGCAAGGGAACACCCACATGAACCGGACTCCCCTTTCCACGAGTGTGCAGCTTTGCTGACCAGCTCTGCCACTTGCAGGGCTCACAGCCGTCACAGAAACGGGTTCTGCCTGGACAGATGGAGGCGGCAGCAGGAACCGCTGCTGGAGGACAGAGAGTGCCTCAGGCTTCCTGCGGCTGCACGTGTAGAGCTGTGATTCTGCCTGCCCCTCTCTCTGGTCGCAGGCTGAACTGAGCTGGCCGGGTCGGGTGCTGCTCCCTGCCCCTCTTCCTGGCTGCGGGCTCCAGTGAGCCCTGGGGATCTCCTGCATTTACTCCTGCAGTGGTGCGCTGCAGACAGTGGATCAGTCCCTAGGGTATTAAAAGGATTAATTAATGTTTCTAAAGCACTTTGATATCTCAGCCATAAATCACTGGAGAAGTGCAAAGCAAATTATTACTAATGGGGGCTTATGACTCAAAGACAGATTTTTAATTAGCTGAGCAGAAAAAGTCAATGCCAAGAGCAATTCAAGGAGCTGTTTGTGAGACAGAAATCTCGACTCAGGCAGCTGCCCTGCTGTCCAAGGGAGACCCCAATCCAAATGCAGCCCTGGAGGATGCTTCACTTGCCATAAACGTCCCCTGTGAGAGTGCTTACACAGAGACGGAGACTTTTCCTGCTCTCACTTAGGTTTCCCTCTGCTCTCCCAAGGACCATTTTCTGTAAGAACTACTCTGGATGGCATTTTGCATTTCATTAATGGATTACTTAAAGCTGGCGTTGGCTGTGACCCCCTCAGCTTCTGTGAGCAGCCAGGTTGGGTGCTTGGTGAATCTCTGCGAGCAGGCAGAAGCCCTTTGGGTGCTGGGATAAAGTATTACTCTCTGAGGAGTGAGATATGGCCATTTGTTGGAGATGAAAGACATTCATTTCAGTCCAGCACTGTCTCTTTTGTTCCTCCAGTAAAGCAGACGGTGCCAATGGGTGCTTTGGTGTCACTTCCCAAAGCTGGAAAAAGACTTACTAAGGGTGTTTATGGTTATGGCAGGCCAACTGGGGATAAAATTTTCCTCTTCAGTCTTTAACATATGTAAATAGAGCAGTGCTGAAAAGAGTTTCTCTGATTATCCTTGTTTGGGATGTGCCCACTCACAGTAAAACATGTTTGCACATTTTCCAGTTTAGAGAATCTCACAGTAGCCAGGAAATGTGATAGTTTTGATTGTCCAGAAAAAGAAATATCTTTCCTCAGATTCCTTGGAAACATTCAGGCACATTTCCAAACTTGAGTTTGGTGGGTAAATCCTCGGTGTTTACAAAAGTTGATCTGCAAATGAGAACTGCTGGTTCCTGGAACACTGCAGGTATGTATGATGCTGTAGTTTTCATCTTTCCTTCCTCTGCAAGCCAGATGCATCAAAGCAGGGACCATCTGCCTCCTGGACGCTTCTCATCCTCTGATTGCTTAAGCTCATGTTGGATTTGCAGTGACTTAACTTCATGTTAATGACCCTTCCCAGAGCTGTTTGAGATTAAGTGTTTTGCTACTGAAATGTGTAGAACAAACTCCACATCATGCAAGACAACGAGCTGAACTTGGTTATTCTACAACAAACGGAGCCAAACCAACTGATTCAGGGGCAGCAGCCTCTGTCAAATGGAGGACAACATAGGCTGCTAGTGCTGCTGTACTCAAGCACGAGGTTTTTAATGCAATTTCTCTGTTAGCAATTGCCTTTCTTTCCCAAACGCCTCTACTGACACCTGTATGTTTGTAAGATGCCTTCAAAATGTGGGATTTCAGGGCTCGTCTGATTGACATATATTCTACATCTCTCTGGAAAACCAAACAGAATTGCTCAGGGCTGATTTGAGCAGGGAGGGATGAAAAAGAGCTGTTAGCTGCTATGGCGCTGGGTGCTCCTGGTAGAGGGAGCAGGGAGGTGTCTTCAGCAGTGTGGGCTTTCTTGGGATGTGTCACCTTGTCAGAGCAGTGTGTTCCTCCAAACACATCAGCTGGAGGAGTAGAGAAAAATGAGTCAGGCATGTGGTGTGACTTGCTGAGCACAGCCCCCAGCATGGGGAAATGGGGAGGACAGGCAAGCTCCAAGGAGGGGCTGGAGTGGGGCAGTCACCATGTTGGATGCTGGCTACCATATGCACTGTGGGACAGAGGAGCTCTGCAAACCCTTTTGCTGGATTGTCCAGGCTTCCAGGAAGCTCTTCTAGGGACAGCTGGGGAAGTAGTGGTGGATACTCTGAGCCATCAGGTCTGCCTTTGGGTAAATCAGCAGGAAGAGATCATCCCCGTTTTGCAGGTAGGATATCTGCACCACCTTTTGGCCAAATCAGAGCAATTTTCAAGTTTTTTTTTTTTTTTTTTTTTTTAATGCAATATAATGTTGCAAATGAATGAAAAATTACTTTGAAGAGGAACAAAAATTTGGAAGCCCACCTACCTCCCTGAGATGGCCCATCCACGACAAGCTGGAGGAGAACTTGTTTCATCAGAGCTGGAAATGTCCTGTTGATAAAGGTTTGATCTACTGAGAAAAACCACCAGTGCCCTGGGGAATTGCAACAGTCATGAGTCAAAAGCTTTCCAAGATCACAAACCAGGTCCGGATGATTATGAATCAGAGTTTAGAAACTGCAAATGGTTTTTACCCCCTTGAAAAGAAAAGCGTTTACTAACAGACTCATTCGGGGTGGCTCACATTTTCCAGACTTCCTCTGAAGCTGACAGAGGGAATGGGCTGAAGCAAAAGCAGAGCTGCTCTTGCAGTGCGGGTGCCTGGGAACAGGGAGGTAAAAGGTTATGATGGCAGAGCTTTATGTGAGATGAGTGGAGGCTGGAGAAAGGCTGGTGCAGATGGGAACCCAAGAGGTGTGACAAGAGAAACTTCCCAAGATGGCCAAAGCTCTCATGGATCCAGTTCCCTAAAGCTCTGTTATCTGACCAGTTTGCCAGGACTGGAGCTTGCAGGCCTAAGCTTTGCAGCACAGAGATCTTGCCTGTGATATCCAGTTTGGGTTTGGAAGCAGCTGGTGAAGATAGGGCAGGTGAGCAACCCTTGGGGCATGCCCGTGGAGGGGAGAAGGACATGGTGCCCATGGAGAAGTGTGGAAGATGCCTGGAGGAAAACTGAGGGTGTGACTGGTTGCCATTGGGCACAAAGGAAAGAAGTAAATCACTTTGCATCAGCAAGGTGAGGGTTAGCTGCTGTGCAGTGATCAGCTGCTCTTGTATCCTGAGGATGCTGCTCAAACATGACTTTTCCTGGAAAAAAAACACACCGCAAACAAAAGCAAACATAATAACCAATATCATAATTTGGCTATTTTTTAATCCATAGCGATTCGGTCTTGGATTCTTTGCCATTTAAAGCTCAACAGAAAAAAAACAGAAAACTGTTTTGTTGCTCTGATATTGAGCACTCTGACAGTTTGGGAAGCAGGATCCTGTGACTGGCTGGTGTGAAAATATTGCTTATTTTCTCCAGCCGTAGGAGACTCTTTGGAGCCCAGAACAGTACATCAATTTGTTTTCTCCTTTTTCCTGAATTGAAGTGCTGTCCCTGGGGCTTTTGATTTCGGGGGAGGAGGCTGAACATAGCCACAGGCAAGAATTAGCAAATGATCATTTCTACTTTTACCAAAGCTTCTGTTTGTTACCCTTCAGCAAGGGCAGCGCAGCCATGATAACAACCTTTGGAAATCTGCAGGCATCGGCGGTTTCGCCTGCGGATGGGTATTGCTGACAACAGTGTCTGAAAACAAAGGCATCGCATAAATCATAGCTTGGGTTGTTCAGAAGAGGCCGTGCCTGAATGCCAATCAAATGCTTCCTGAGGAGGATGGATGTGACGGGGACAGGCGATGTGTTAGTGAGGATTACTGAGCTGAAATTGCCTGGGTTGCAGTTGCACAACTCCCTGGTGTGGTGGCAAGCCCCCAGCCCAGCTCCTGGCCCATTTGCCTGTGCTCTCCCACTGCTGCAGTGATACCAAACAGCACTCAGTCCCCAGAACCTTTCCCCTCAGCTGCTGTGGCTTTACTGGTTGAGGGCACGTGGCTGGAGGAATAGCTCTGAGCTGCAGTCACTCTTGCTCACAGCAGTGGCTTCAGGGCACTGCCCCTTGCAGACATGGTCCCTGCTCATCCCTGCAGTGACCCTGGGCAGAGGGCAGCACTAGTTGCTGGTGCTCCTCAGCTTGACTCCTGGCCTATGGGCAGTGGGAATGTGTGGGGTCAGACCCCCAGCAGCTGCACCATGGAGTTCTGCTCTTCTCACTTTCCTTGGCAATTTTGAGGAAATTGCATAATTTTCCCACTCTTACAGAAAATGCCAAAAGCAAAGAATTCCTTTATAAAATTGCTTTTTTATTAAACCCTTTCTGCCTCCCGCCTCCACATTCAACTGCCCCTATGACTGCCAGGGCAATCCAGGGCAGAACCAGTAAGTGCTGTGCTCAGTAATTGGATGAACGCAGTTTTCAATCTCCTCCAGAAAGAGACTCCACTTTTCTCTGAGCTAAGAGCAGTTCCCTGCCCACTCCTTCTTTCTCACAGCTGAAGGAGATATGAGGGTTTGGCACCTTCCTCTAAAGGTTATGGACTCCTGGAGGATGATCTGTTCTGCTCTGACCCCAGGACTGATCTGACCCAGCACCACATGTGCATTATCCAGGGCTGGATCTTGCTCAGTGGTGGGTGAAGAAGTGGTCAGGTCATGGGGGTAAGATGGAACCAGAGCCCTCCAG